GAGGAGTAGGAAACGGATGAGGGAGAGGGAGAGGAGGAGGACAGGGAATGAGGAGGAGGAGGAGGAGGAGGAGGAGAAGGGAGAGGGAGAGCAGGAGGAGGAGGCAGGAGGCAGGAGGGGCAGGGGGAATGGGGGGGAGGAAGCATAACGAGGGGGAGGGGGAGGAGGTGGAGGAGGCAAGAAGAGGAGGAAGAGGCAGGGGTTGAGGCAGGAGGAGTAGCAGACAGGAGGAGAACGAGGAGGCAAGAGTAGGTGGGAGAAGGGAAGGGGCAGGAGGATACCCCCATGCAAGCTAAAGAGATTCTCATGCGGGGTCTTTCCGTCGGAGTATTTTTTCTGGCGGGCAACATCTATCTCAAGAAAGGTGGCAATCCCGCCGACTGCAAATGGAGTATCTTAAGGAGCTCAGTGGCAATTCTCAAGCGGGCACACATTCCCTTTTCATCATAGGCGGTGGTTGGAAAACCGAGCCAAGCGAGTCGGCCTCCTCAGGATGGGCCACTCCGCTTGATGCTACCATAGTGGCACCCAACACTGGCACCACCTTCGTGGTCGCCTCGAACCTCACTCCGTCGGGCTCCTGGAGAAAATCCCCACTTCCCCCCGTTCGCCCGTGCTCCTGCGCATTGCTGCTGCGCCCAGCAACGCGCAGGTGCGCAAGATCAAGGTACCCAAGCGCTTCTCAGTTGCAACCCCAATTGGCTGCGAGCGCGAGCCAGGCAACAGCATCCGGGGTGGGCCAGGAAAAGCACGGTGGGCGAATTACGTGTCCAATCTGCTCGGCGCCATGGGCCTCCTAGGTTCCCGAGGCGATCGGTATTGTCTGTTTGGTGGAAGCAAATGCATGTGGCGCTTTTGGATCTCTGCAAGGTGCAATCTTCGGTCCCCGACAAGTTCCACAGGTGGGCCCCCAGCATCAGTAGGCTCCGCAGACTCTCCAGGGCCTGCGCCACGAGGACCCCCACGTCAGGTGGGCCACTGTCTTGGGCGTCATTGAGCAGGCCCCCGCTGACTTCATAAAAGCCCCCCAGGTGTGGGCCGAAGAGGGGGCCCTACATCAGCACCAGCAGCCTTCCAGGCACAAGGAGCGACAGTGGCGCGAGTGGATTGACGCGCGCTCGGCCAATGGCGCGCCCGCCCTGTCTGATTATTCTCTGCGCTGCCTGCCGACTGGCAGCCATCAACAATGGATCGCTACGCGCCGCGGCCAGCCAACTCCCGGGAACAGGTCGACACGCCGGCAAGCTGAGCGGGAAGGCCGGAAAGTGCAGCACGCAAGACAGTCTCGGGACTGGCCCGACTCCCTCGGGGATCGCCCCCCTGCCCCCTCGGTGCCTGAGCTCAAAACTGCGCTTTGTGTTTCCCCGCCAAGACAGGCACAGCTTTTGGTCAGGTTAGTCCCAGGAATGGCCCCCTCCTGCCAGATCGCGCGATCCAGCTGCTGCGCGAAATCATCTCACACGTCGGGCAGAGGCTCGAGTGGCCGCAGGTGCGCAGCCGCATCGTATTTGTGACGAAGAGAGCAGGTGTCCGACCCCTCGGCCTGCTCCACGCTCCTTGCCGGGTGCAGCGTCGCCTACGGCGACTGACGATTGCAGCCTGGCAGCGCGGCAACTTTCGGCACTTCTACTGGGCCGCCAAGGGGCGGTCGTCCGAGACATGCGCGTGTATATCCAGTACCTGGTCGGCGTTTTGCACTATCCAGAGACAGCGTTCGGGCGCGGCCCTGCTCGATTTGAAACAGGCGCTCGAGTTCGTTCAATTCCGTCATCTGCGGCGCGCTGCCTTCGTCCGAGTCTTTGTTGCGTGGCAGCTTTGTTCAATGACTGATGCTTATCGAACTCTTCGCACTCTGGGCCCCCAGGGCATGTGCGGCGAGATTATCGGCGCGGAGAAGACGGCAGGCCCCTGGGAGTGCGTTTGCCACGCTTATGTTACAGTTACATATGCTGGGCCCCTGGGCAAAGTGCAAGCGGCGCACCGCTCGGTGGCATTGTCCGTCAGCGCTGACGATTTCGGCCTCCAGCGCTTCGGTGGCGAGGAGCTCTGCGAAGCTGCCTCGCTTCGGGCCCGCGAGCTGGCGCCCGCGGCAACTCCAAGGCGCTTCGCGCTCGCATCGCTCGCGGGGTTCGGAAGATTGGCGCCCTTGCCGCGGTGACGGAGCGCAACCTCGGAAACGACAATGCCGCTGGAAGAGCCCAACGCAGGCGCGCCTGCACGGCCAAGTACATTGCCGTCAGAAAACGTCGAGGCCGCATGCCCGCTCTGAAGTCAGGGCGCGCACGCAGGAGGCTACTCGGGCAGATGAGTCAGCTGCCCTTGAAGGCGCCACGTCGCATGGCACAGCGGTCGCGAGCGTTGACGAGAGGGGGCCCGAGACTTCCAAGAGCTTTGCAGGCAAGTTAGGCAAGAGCCGCGCGTCCCCCTGATGGTTGCCCCCCAGCAAGGGCCTGGGCCGCATCATCAGGGCCGCCCGTTTACCCGTCAAGTTCTTCCTCGCGCGCGTTCGCGAGAAGCGGTTACCCAAACATGTCCTCCAGAGGAGTCCTCTACAAATGGATGCCCACCTCGCGCCCCTCATGTACCAGTGGGGCTCTACCGCATAACCCTTCACCACTCTTTGGGCGTCTTTGCGGAAAGTAGGTGTCAGGGCCAAGTCTCTGGAGGAATGGATCGTTCGTGAGGTCGTTTTCTGAACTGAAACCTGCCCCTCGGTTGCAACGCAGCACGCGCGGCGCGCGGCAAGCCGGTGGCAGCGCCAGAAAATAGCGGAGCATGTTGCAGCGCCCCAGCTCGCAAACGGTGAGCTCCTCGCACGTGCCCTCTTTTTCTCGGCGCTCTGGGGTCCTGCCGTAGGAGAAGGCCTGCGTCAGATCATGTATCATTGGTGCGCAGTGGCCAATGGCGAGGCGCTGACAAGCTGGCTATCCCGTGGAGCCGTTCTGTCTGGCGTGCTCGGCTGTCGGCGCGCGCGCGCGCTCGGCGCGCTTGTGCACAGGCGCTGCGTGTAAGCGCAGAGCGCGCTCACGCTCGAGTCTCCGCATCTGTCGCGCGAGCCCCTCGCTGACGCCGCAAAACAAAGCGGGCTCCCGCAACTGCTAGCCGAGAGAAGATGTCTTGTGCCGGTGCCGTCTTTCGAGCGCCCATCTCACCCCGACCTCCCTGAATCCCTGTGGGTCCATTTTCATACTGGCCTGCTCTCTGGGGACGTCTTCCTGGATGGCTTGTGTCTCGAAGGTGAATGCGGACGCTTACGCCACATTGGCAGCACAGGCCTTCCGACTCCCAAGCCGCCCAAGCCACAGCTTGTTTTGGTGCAGGACCCCGTGCCCACGGATTTGGTCGCCAAGGCGATGGCGGCCTCCATGGACTTTCGGGCCCAGGGCAAGGCCCCCCATGCCCTCGTCCATATCAAATCACAAGAGGGAGTCAATCTCGGTGGTTGCTCCCGGTGTGGTGTGCTTTCGTCTGCTCGACTCGCCCTGCTCTCTTCTCCGTGTGCGGGAAACTTGCCCGCAAGGGCCAAGAAGATCTGGAGCAGGCCCTATCGTGGTGAGTACACGCACATCTCGTCGGGCGTTTCGCGTATCCTCAGAATTGTCGAGATCCGTTCCAATCTGAGTTGATCCTGTTTGTTGTAAGGAGTTGCGTAACCCGTGGCTCTCTATGTCTTGCCCAGGAGAAGGAAGAGGAGGAGGAGGAGGAGGAGGACGTGGAGGAGGAGGAGAAGGACGAGGAGGAGGAGGATGAGGAGGAGGAGGGGGGAGGGGAGGAGGAGGGGGAGAGGAGGAGGAGGAGGAGGAGGAGGAGGAGGAGGAAGAGGAGGAGGAGGAGGAGGAGGAAGAGGAAGAGGAGGATGATCGGACAAAAAAACTCGCGCACTTGAAAGCCCCGAAAGGGGTCCGGGGACCGATTTTTTGTGGCGCCGGTGCCTCAGCTCGCCCTGCTCCGTCAAGCAGCCGCAGCAGCCGCATGTGATGGGCGCGAATTTATATTAGGTCGGGCATGTCCCCTACAGGCGGATTTTGGGCGAAGATTTTAAAAACAAAATTCAAAACATGCCCCGAAATAGTCAAACAATAATCAAAAAATAGTCCCCAGACCATTTTTTACAATGTTTGAATACGCCTCCCGTAAAGGGACACGCACCTTAAGAATTAATGGGGGGCGATACATGCAATGGGTGAGCAGCGATGGCTGCAGAAAAGGGGCCCTTCGGGCCCTTCGGGGCCCCCAGAAGGGAAACTGGCTCTCCCCCCCCTTTTGATCGCACTCCACTCATTCGCGCCCCAAACCGGCAGGAACATGACCAAGTCGGAGGTCGGCGCGGATTTCCTGGAGCGGCGCTGGGCCCACCCCTCCTGCGTGCGGAGCGCGCAAGGGGGCCAACCCCGATCCAAGAGACCCGCACAAAACTCTGGGTTCTTCGCGACGCGCCGCTCGAGCTCAGATCTGCCCTGGCACCTGAGCGACGATCAAAAACAGGTCTTACGCGAGATGGCGTAGCCACCTTACGCGGCGGCTTACGCGCGCCGCCCGCGCGGCACGCTACATTGGAAACGAGGGCGCTTACGCGGCGCGGCCTTACACGGAGAGCTTACGCGCGAATGTCGGCGCAGACGGCCCCGTTTTTCTCGCGTTGCTCACCTGAGGGCTGGCTCAGGCGGGCAACATCGCCGACAGGTCGGCGCTACGTCGCCGAAAGATCGGCGATAGGCCCTCCGCGCGTTCCTGGGATGGGTGTCGGGCCCCCATCCGCGATGAGTTTGGGATCGAAACGTTCCCCCCTGAGCCTATCCCCCCCTAAAGTTCCCCCCCTTTGCTTTCTGGTCATAACTCGGCTCCCTGGCGACCGCCCGGGACGAACCGGGCGGCCCAGGAATGCTCTCGGCGAGGCGCAGCCGCTGGAAGGCATCCCGAGGCTGGAAAGCCGACGCGAACCGACGAAAATGTAAACCTTGCTTGAAGCCTCGTCTCCGCCTAACGTTGCCCTCGGGCACCAGCTCCGTGCGAAGCGTTTCCTTGAACGGCGCTGGCGCCAGGATCGTTCCGAAGGAAGCGTACCTCTCGTCGGACGCCCGCAGGTAGGCGTCGGCACCGAGAGCGAGGGCCGCTCCTGGGGTAACCGGCCTTGAGCTTCTCCACGCCCGTAAGATTGACACGCCCAGGGCGATGACCATCTCAAATACGTGCCCTCAGAAACTGAAGGAGTGTTTAAAGTCAGCACCCGGCCCCGGCACCGAGACATGGCGATGCCAGTCATAGGCACAGGGATCTGCTTCAGGTTGGTGATGGGGGGACAGAGACCCAGACATGCGACGTCCTGATTTCCTCAGGATGACGCCCCTGGAAGTCCCGACCCTCTCCCTGGGGCTGGTGTTCCTCCCGAAACGTTGAATGATGGCCCCGAGGCACGGCGAGGGCACCCCGAGGCCAAAAATAGCCTCAAGTCGGGCGCGTCACCCTACAGGTATATGTTGGGAGATGTTTTATGACTAATCAAAAATGTTCACACCCAAAATCCACAAATAATCAGAACATGTTCCCCAGGCTATGCTTGTGATATTTTTATGCATCCCTCCTGTACGGGGACACGCCCGACGTTAAAAATAGCCAAACACCTCCCGTCCTGATTTTTTTACGACGCGATCGTGCCTGGGGAGGCACCCCTGCTGCTCCCCAGGCCTCTCGGGGGCGACTGCAGCAGTGACGGCAGGGCTTCCCCGGAGGCCTCCCCAGGAAGAGCGGAGGGCGGGGGAGAACGCCGCCACCTGCATCGACGCGCGCGCCCACACCCCCACATCGGTCCCAAATCGTTCCATCAGACCTAAGTCGGGCGTGTTCCCCTACAGGCAGATGTTGGAGAAGCAATGTGTATATATATATATATATATATAATGTTCAAAAATATTCCGAAATAGTTCTTTATAGGAAAAATCGTACCCCGACTATTTTCTACTACTTTTGGATATTCCTCCTGAAGAGGGTCACGCACGACTGAACACCACCCCTCCCGGCGAGCGCGGTCCAGGCGCAGAGGCGAGAACCTCACACGACGTCCTCTGAAACCCTGGCGTCTCAACGCGTTCGAGCCGGGCGTTTCCGCTTCTCTCTGGGCCCCAGGCCCTCACAGATCGATCTGGCTTGAGAGATGACGCAGTACATAGGATTTGTGTTTACAACGCTGCAAGGTTTTGCGATGCTGCGTTTCTGTCGCTGCGATATTGTTTTACGATGCTGCATGTCTTACGATGTTGCATTTGCTCCGCTTTGTCGGATCTCAAGGTCGTCACCGTCGGTCCCCGAAGTCCGACGTCATGGAACACTGCACCTCGTGGGGGGGGGATCGTGACCAAAACCTTCGACCCGAACTTCCTGCCAGGCTTGACGAGAAAGACCGATCCGCGAGGGCCCCGCGGGGACCGATCCCTGGCGAGAGCGCCCAGTGTGACGAACCAACAACACACACCCATACCCATAGGGGGGTCGGAAAGGGCCATGGGTGCGTGTTGTCGGATGGGGGTCCCCGCTCGAACGGGAGCGTTCCCTAGGGTCCGACAACCCGCACCCATACCCATAGCCAGTCCTCCTCCCGACGACCCCCTTATGGGTATGGGTGTGTGTGCTTGAACGCCCGAGTTATCCGGGGTAACTCGGGTCCGGGGTAACTCGGGTTTGGGTTCCCGAAAAACGAACCCGAGTTATCCCTGACCCGAGTTATCCGAAAAACGAACCCGAGTTATCCCTGACCCGAGTTACCCCTGATGATTCGGGGCTCTGATGTGCTGTTCGTTCGTCACAGTGCCCAACAAACAAACCAAAAAAGCGAGGCCTGGAAAACCCGGCGCCGTCCGCACGGACGTCGGGGCACGCGCGAGCCGAGGCAGCGGCCGCTCGAGACCCGGCCCCTGGACGACCCCTTTCCAAGGGGCCCAAAAGGGCGCCCAAGGAAATACACACACAAGTGACAGGATCCCCAAGATTTTCCCATGTTTTCTTCTGGGTTTTTGTCTTCCTCCCACGTCCCACACTTTCTCATATTTTCGGGGGAATCGACGATTCCTTGTGTCTGTGTTTTTTTTTTTGCCCTCCTGACCCGAGTTACCCCTGATGATTCGGGGCTCTGGACGCCCGAAGTATCCGGGGTAACTCGGGTCCGGGGTAAGTCGGGTTCGGACTCCCCGAAAAAGGAACCCGAGTTATCCCTGACCCGAGTTACCCCTGATGATCGGGGCTCTGAAAAAGGGCTATGGGTGCGTGTTGTCGGATGGGGGTCCCCGCTCGAACGGGAGCGTTCCCTAGGGTCCGACAACCCGCACCCATACCCATAGCCAGTCCTCCTCCCGACGACCCCCTTATGGGTACTGCAGGTCCGTGCCGTGTCGACCCCAGCGTTGGTTTTTGACACCGCAGGGATCGGTCAACCTTGAACGATCGGCCGTTCCCGCAACGTCCAATCGTTCAACATTGACCGATTCCACGTCGCCGCCGGCGTTCAATATTGAACGCCGCCGGCAGGGTCGCCGCCGGTCGACACGACGCGAACCTACCGTACCCATAGCCAGTCCTCCTCCCGACGACCCCCTTATGGGTATGGGTGTGTGTGCTGTTCTAGGGGGCAAACAAACCTACCTCGCTTTTGACCACCCTCGCTTCCAAGAGATACCAAGCGATGCCAAACTACGGCCTGTACTGGTCAGGCCGCTTGACGAGGAGGCGAGTGGTATGCCTTGGTTTTTCCTGGAAGCGAAAGCGGGGTAGGTAATTCACGCTCTGATGTTCGTTCGCCGAAGTGCCAAACAAACAAACAAAACGAGGCCTGGAAAACCCGGCGCCGCCCGCACGGACGTCGGGGCAGCGCGCGAGCCGAGGCAGCGGCCGCTCGAGACCCGGCCCCTGGACGACCCCCTTTCTCAAGGGGCCCAAAAGGGCACCCAAGGAAACACACACAAATGGCAGGATCCCCCAGATTTTCCCAGGTTTTCTGGGTTTTTGTCTTCCTGCCACTTTCCCATGCTTTCTCATATTTTCTGGGGGATCGACGATTCATCGTGTCTGTGTTTTCTTTGCCCTCCTGACCCCTCCCTGGGGCCCGAACGCACCACCAATGCTCCACGCCGCGCCCGGCCCTGGCGACGAGGGGCCCGCCCGAGGACCAGCAATGCAGTCTCCTCAGCTCGGCCTCCCCTGAGGCTGCTACCCTTCGGGGGCCACATGCGAACCCTACCCCTACCCCCCACGATTTTTGAGGGAGCTCCCGAGCGAAGTGAACCCCACCCTCCCCTTCAGAAATCGTGAGGGGGTAGGGGTAGGAATCGCATGTGGCCCCCTAGCCCTGTGCCCGCGGCAGCTGTGCGCATCGTCGCGAGGCGAAGCCGTGCGCATCGTAGCGAACGGGGTGCCCATCCCACCCCCATCGCGCCCCCCTCCCTGCCAGTCGAAGGGCGCGCCGAGGCAAGCGGGAAACCCCACCGCGAAAACCCAAAGCCAACAGGTTTCCGCGGCCCCCTTCGCGGCTCCCCCAGCTGCCGCGACCAGCCCCCTCCTGGCGACCTCCGCCCCCTCGTTCGCGCCCTGCGCCGCGCCCGCGGCCGCCTTGGCGGCGCGCGCAAGGAGGAGGAGAGAAAGGGGGAAGCTTCTTGCAAGGAGACTGCTTGTTAGAAGGCGCCGGCTTTACGTCTATAGATGAGGCCCGCGCGCTCTAATACGCCCTCCCCCCTCCTCCCTCTTGCCCCCCCCCCCTTCCAATAAACCCTCCCCCTCCTCCTAATAGGGTGATTCGCAGAAACCTCCCCCCCTCCTCCCACCCCCTCCGCGCGAGGGCTGACCGCCGCTGTGGCGCCGGGCCGCCCGGCGCCGCGGCGCGCCCCGCGCCGCCCCTCCCGAGGGCGGCGGGCCGCGCCACGCCGCGGCCGGCCACCGCAGACGCGGCGACCGCGGCCGCGCCGGCGGCGGGCGCGGGCGGCCAGGCGCTCCCGCCCGGCGCCCGCGGCGGCAGCGCCGCCGCGGGCGCGCCGATGGCGGCGGCGCGGGGCCGCGGGGCCGCCGCCGCGCCGGACAAGGCCGCGGGCGCGGCGGCGTGCAGCATCGCAGGCTCGGCGGGGCCTGCGCGCGGGTGCGGGCGGGGGGCGGCCTGCGGGAGGGCGGCGGGGGGTCCCGGATTGCGGATGGCCTGGTCGTTGTTCTCAACATCCCAAGTGGGCGTGTGGTGGTCTGTGGACACCCCCCGCGCAGGATCGCCTCTTTCTCCTCCCCCTCCTCCTCCTCCTCCTCCTCCTCCTCCTCCTCCTCCTCCTCCTCTTCCTGCCCCTCCTCCTCCTCGTCGTCGTCCTCCTCCTTGTCCACCTCCTCCAGTTCCTCCTCATCCATCTCTTCCTTCCGCATTCACGCACTGACGCGCACGTGCCGTGATGCACTCTCACCATCATCATCATCATCATCATCATCATCATCACCATCGTCATAATCATCACTGTCAACGTCATCGTCCACATTCGCTCGCAGACTAGCTCATTCACTCATTGCCCCACATTCACACTGTCATCACCATGCCATGATCAACACCACCGGCGTCTTCACGACCGCCGACATCATCATCAACAACAGCATCACCGCTACCATCGCACATGCACGCACGCACCCACGCACGCACGCACGCACACAAACCCACACACACACACAAAACACACACACTCACACGCACACACACACACACCACACACGCACACACACACACACACACCACACACACACACACACACACACGCGCGCGCGCATGCGCACGCGCACGCGCACGCGCACGCGCACGCGCACGCACTCGCACTCACACTCGCCCGCTCCCACTGACACACAGACAAACATTCGTGTTCCGTCGCAGCGCGGCAAAGGCAATCCACGCGAGCGTCCGAATGATTCCACGCGAGCGTAAGGGTGAAGAGGCGGCCGCGCGAGGGGAGGGGGCACGGGGGCGCACTCACGCAGCGGGGCTGCGACGGGGGCGTGGGCATGGCCAGGCTGCGGCTCCAAGCTGTCGGCGGCTGCGGGTCAGCTGCGCAGCGCACCCAGGGTGGGAGGCCAGCAACCACAGTGCGGGCGTGAACCAGCAGGTCGGCGGCGACGACAAGGGCGAATAGCCCAGGGGCGGGCACTACACGCATTCGCCCGGGAGCCTTGTCGAAGACGTAGACCATCGGCGCACCCAGATGCATGTATTGCTCTCCCCTGGGCCATTCGCTCCCGTCGTCGCCTCCGAGCAAGGGAGATAGTGGAGGCGGCGGAGGCTGTAATCCAGGTGGCCCGCGGAAGCAGGGCGGGGGGCAGCGGAGTGGTGCCGGCGGCCAGCGGTCGGCCAGCGCTGCAGCAGCTGCAAAGGGCTCCAGGCGGTGGAGGCCGCGGCGGCCCCGACGGGGGGGGGGGGCGGCCGCCAGGCTCCC